CTTCTGGTTCGAGGGCACCTGAATTCACATGCACGAGCTCCCCCACACTCATATACATTTAGTCAGTAAATAAAGCAAAAATCTTTGGAAGAATAAAAGTAAAATTGCCCCAGGCCTGTGTTTGTATACACACACACACACACACACACACACGTACTCATATACATGGGAGTTGTGAGCAATCATGTTGGTCAGCTTCTACTTTTTTCAGTGTATGTGTGGGTATTTTACGTGCATGTAGGTCTGATACTTGCGGAAGCTAAAAGACCGTGTTGGATCCCCTAGTATTAGGGCTATAGACAGCTGTGAGCTCCCCGGTGTGTGCTGGGAATCAAAGCTGATTCTTCTGGAGACGTATTTAACTGCTGAGCCATCTCTCCAGCCTCATCCAGCTTCTACTCTGAGACACTTGTACCTGCCTGCAAGCGTCTCTGTTCAGAACCCACAGCCCACTATCTCGCCTCCGTGTGGCCAGACGATGGAAATAATGACATTTTGAGACTCCATGTACCACTTGGCATTATTCGTACTAAAAATACAGCTTTGTTGGTGAGGCTTCAGGCCAAGGGGAAGCTACCATAAGTATAGTAGACTTCCAGAAATTTCACAGATAAGTTACTTGCAGCTAGCAGGTAAGTTGCATCTAACAGTGGCAGGTGGTCCATTCCTTGAGGATCTGGGGGTGAGGAGGGGTTCCTGTGAAACCACCACCACACGGCAAGGCAGGTATACAATATGCTCTATCATCCTCTTGCAGACTTGGGAGTGAGGCGTGAGCATAGGTTGGGTGTGGACTCCTGGCTCTTCCTCCGGCATCTAGGACAATGCATATAGTGATACAACCTGCTGAAAGCCATCGTTTCTTTGAAGTGGCTTATTTGTATTAAAATATTATCCTAGACCAGTGTTGTGAATCTGTTTATTTAAAGACCTCACTCTTTTCTCTTCATCTTTTTAATATTTACTTTTTATTTTATTTATATGTTGTATATATTATTTATATATATAATATATAAATAAAGCATATAAGATATACCATATATTATACATTTTATTTATATGTGTGTTCACATTCACACAGGCACACAGAGGACACAGGATTCCCTGAGCTGCCTGGTGTAGACGCTGGGAAGCCACCTCCAGTTCTCTTAGCTGCTGCGCCCTCTCTCCAGCTTCTGCTCTGTCTTTCCCTTACTCTTTAACAATTCCATAACTGTGCAAAATGTATCTCAGTCATACCCACTGCCCAATCCTGCCCCCACTCCCTTGACACATCTTCCCACCTTCTTTCCCTGTCCTTCTCTGGGGATCGGGAGACCCCCTGAATGCTATCAGTGTTGCATGCTGGAATGCTAACCGGCATTATTGGCTAGACCTTGATTTGGCAGCCATTACTGCAGTCAAGTCCTGAGTCTGACGGCCACGACTATGTTGTGTCGAGGAGACAATATCTCAAAGCACTATTTTCCATCCTCTTACATTTCACCAACCCTCTCTTCTACGATGTGAAGGTGGGGTGTTAATATAGATGCCCCATCTGGGGCTAAGCACTCAACGGTCACTCCTTCTCAGCTCTTTGACTGGCTCTGAGTCTCTGCCGTAACCACTACAGAAGTTTCTCTGGCCAATGTTAAAAGCAACACAAATCTAAGGCCTCATCCCTTAAATCAAATGATTTATTTTTTATTTTTACTTTCCGTATATGCACTGCATAGATGCATGTGCACAAGAAGAGGGATTCAGATCCCTCGGAGCTGGGGTTCCAGATGGTTGTGAGCCACACAACCCAGACATTAGAAGGGAGCTCCAGTCCCTCTAGAACAGTAGTCTGATTAAACCACTGAGGTACTTCTCCAGACCCCTGACACCTCATTCTTACTTTAAACACCTTGGCCCTGGAAAAGGTTCTCTTGATCCTGGCGATGCCCAATGCCCTTCCTTGCACACCTCTTAATCATCCCAGAGAAGGAAAGCAAGGGCACCACCAACCCATATCACAGGGATGATGTTGACACAATTCCAAGCTGGCCAGAAAACCCATGCTTCACACGCCCTTCAGACTGACAGTGCTTCTGTCCTGATTTGGAATGGAGCACCAAAAGAACAGAAAAACAGAGGTTTGGTGGCTTGTAAGTTAGGATGACTTTTGTGGCAGCAGGCTTTGGGGTTCAGTCCAGGAGCTATGTGTAGGCTGTATCACAGACTATTCCTTTGGCATTCTCCCAACGGAAAGTCCTGGACTGTGTTGACACAGATAGCGCCTCTGTGTGGGCTGGGGACATTGTGTGCCTGTCACAGCTCTATCTCCAACCCAGAATTCCTCAACCACAGGGCACGGAGTCTTTTTCTGAAACATCTGAGTTTAACTACAGGAAGGGCGTCAAAGGCACCTGTGTCTGTTGGTAGCGATGTTTTGAGAAATGGTCTCACCATGTAGCCCAGGTTTTGCCTGGAACTCATGGCAATCCTCTTGCCTCAGCCTCCTGAGTGTTAGAGTTACAGGATCATATCTATTTTTGTGTCACGATCTTTTACTTCGCATCCTGCTCAGTATTGGTTCTCCTTCGATGGTCCAAGTACAAACGCCCTCCAGGTTTTACAGAGGTAAAGAAACTGGCCAGGAAAGATGCTTATAAAAGCTAAACGGGCATCTAGCAAAACATGAAGGAAATGGAGTGATCAACCCTACGGTCCGGATCTTGCCACAGAATCGTTGCTTGGTGGGTGGGGAAGTTGGTTCACCAAATACCACAGAGAAACACAATAGGAATTGGAGAGGTGGTGCAGTGGGTGAGAGTTTGCTGGGCAAGCATGGGACCTGAATTCAGATCCCAGCACTCACATTTTTTAAAAATCCTAGCAGTACCACATAGACCTGTAACCCCAATGTTACAGTCAGATGGGCAAAAGAATTATTAGTTTCTGCGGTCACATAGCCGGGATAAAAATGGCAACCTCCAAGTTCAGTGAAAGACCCCTATATCAAGGGGATCAGGTAGGGAGTGACAGAGAAGAGTACCCAATGTCTTCTTCTACCCCCTACTCCCCCCCCACCTCTCTCTCTCTCACACACACACACACACTCACACACAAACACACACACATACATACCGAGGCCTAGCACTCTCAAAGAGCGGACTCCTCTCAAACTTGGCCTACAGGATTACAGATGTGTGTGTGTATGAGCACTGGTGCTCTGCACACTATGTGCTAAGACTCCACACACTTGGCCAAGGAGGATGAACCAGTACAAAGACAGGAACCCCGAGTACACCAGTGTGGGAACACACTGAGGGGGAACTGAATGAGGAGGGAACTGGTACCTGCTGTGGTTTGTAGTCTGTTCTCCAAAGGTTTCCTGTGCTGGAGTCGTGGTCCCCAGAGTAGCAATTGTGAGCACAATACAACCTTTAAGAGCTGGGGCCAGCATGGCTCCAGCTGTATACGTAGGGGAGGATGACAGTGTCAGACATAGGTGGGTGAGGAAGTCCTTGGTCCAGTGAAAGCTGGACGCCCTAGTGTGGGGGAAATTATGGGTGGGGAGGTGAGAGTGGGAGGGTGGGTGGGGGCATATCCTCATGGAGGCAGGAGGGGAGATGGGATAGGGGTTTCCTGGGTTGGGGGGGGGGGAAGGGGATTACATCTGAAATGTAAATAAAATATCCAATAAAAAAAATCTAAGAAAAAAAAGAGGTGGAGCCAAGCCAGTGATAGGTAGGTTCTCTGGTATGCAAAGATGGGGGTGGGGAGTATGAAGGTGAACATATTGGGGACTGAGAATTCAGAGGCGGTGGACGGAGGTTGTGAATGGATAGGATTGATACACACTATACACAAGTATAAGTTGTCAGAGGATAAATTGATGTACACTATAGACAGGTATGAAGTTGTCAGAGGATAAAGGAAAGATATTTTTAAAAGCCAAGAACAAAAATCAGAGTCTTTACGGTGCTGCCAGATGGATCTGGATGTGGAGACAGCTGCCACCTCCTTGGCGCTCCTCAGTCTCTGCTCACCCCTTCCTTGTCTGTCGCCCACAGCCCCACCTTGCCCAGCCTTGAGCACTTTGCAGAACAGCGTGAATTAGGACCAGTGCTTGACAGTGTGTGTGTGTGTGTGTGTGTGACATAAGTGAAGGGAGCGACGGTTACAGGGTTAAATAAAAAGGGTGGAAGATGGGTCACAAAATGACTGAGCCAAAATGTGACTCTGTGTGACATGCCTGGGGAGACTGAGGTAACAGCGTAGCAGGACTCGAGGCTGGAGAGGAAGTTCAGTGGTAATGAGCATGCAATGCTCTCATAGAGGAGCCAGGTCCTCCCCCCGTGGTAGGCTGTTCCCAACTGTGTATAATGTTAGTTCCAGGGGATCTGATGTCTTGGTGTCACATGTGACACACACAGAGTAAGTCTTGTTTAAAAGGAGTCTATTATAACTGGTGAGAGTATAGACTTCTTAGCTATTATTATATTTCCTTTGCCCCATAAAAATAGTTTATGACTAAAAACAAAAACAAAAAACAAAATAAATTGTTTATTTCTCTTCATGTGTATAGTGCATGCATGTGTGCACATATATGTGTACGCTTGTGCATTTGCATGTGGACACTAGAGGTAGACATCAGAGTGTCTTACCAACACTAAAACTCACAGCTTCAGCTCCAGACAGCCCAGCAAGATTCTGAGAGCCTTCTGTTTCTACCAACAATCCCGGTTCTGGCTCACAGACATTTGCCTCCAGGCCAGCTTTTACCTGAAAACACTTAACCCAATACTCTATCTCCGGAGCCCTAAATTAAATATTTCATGAGGAAATTATGTTAGGGTAAAGAGGGAGCTGATTACGAGAAAGGCGATCTCATTTATGAGAAAAGCCACATAGAAAAGGTCAAGGGGCGAGAAAAGGGGAAGAAACAGGTCGGTTACTGCTCTCTGCCTTCATTTGGCCAGCAGAGGCAGCAGAGAGGCCCCGTCCTGCTGTGGGGAAGTCTGCCATCCAGACTAGGTCTAAGATCACCGCCGGGGTCACAGCTATGCTGTCCAGGACTCTGCTGCTCATCTTTGGTGTGCTGTTGCTGCTGTCCCCAGCCCAGGGAGGGATCCAGCGAAAACGGAAATATGAAGGTAGGTGATTGGATGGGGTGGGTATGTGGATAGCAAGCAAGGAGCGACGGAGAACAGATCCAGAAGGGATATGACTGCATACTCTGCTCCTCTCCAGCACTGTCTAGACTCTGGGTGGTCACAGCCATTCAGCTACGGTTCCAGACTCAGTGGTAAGGTGCACAGTGAATTCCTGCCCTTTGTTCCAAAGATCCAGAAACAAATGGTGGTGAAAGGAGCCTCATGGCTGAAAATCCAAGGGACAGATGAGACAGTTGTTCTTGAATGATGCATATTTGGGAGGACTAAACTCACAGAGATACTGGAAGAGGGGTGTAGAAATGGGCATAGGTGCAGAAAACAAAGCATTGATCATGAAAGGGGTAGGGATGGAGTTGCCACCTGGGGTGGGTTAGGGCTAGGGTAAATGACAAAAGGGACAGGATACTGGACAGCAAGGCAGCAGAGGAAACAGAGAGGCTGGAGGCCAATCTGTTAGCTTCACGGACCCTGAGAATTTTGAAGAGTTAAGAGGGTTCGAGAACTACCTCCAGTTTCTACGAGCTGAGTAAGAGTATACAATTCACAGAGATGATGACTTGGAGAGACCGGTCGTGGATGTATGAGGAAGAGGAGCCCAGACACTAATAGCTGTAGGGAGGTGGTGAGATTATCACAGGGCATGAGATTTAAACAACTGATCAGCAGGACTGAGCACAAAGAAAAGTTTCCTGGAAAAAAATCCAGGCATTGCGTGAATGTTTAGCGTATTGCAGGAACTTTAAGCCCAAGTGGGATTCTCTCCAGGTAGCCACTCTCCTCACCTACCTGTTCTTGCCCCTTTTCAGTAGCACAAGGTCATGTCGAGATCAAAGAGTGTGAGAGGAAGCCCAAATGGTATCTGTGCCGTCGCCATTGTGAAGCCGACCGAGACTGCCAAGCGAATAACATATGCTGCTCCGCCATGTGCGGCAATGTGTGCATGAACCTGTTGGATAACAATGTGTGGAAGATGCCTGTCACCCCTCCCCCTGACATTGTCTACTCAGGGAGTGGGTCCCCAGCCAGCTTCGAAGGAGATATGGTTCTGTTCACATTTACCGAGCCATCTGTGTCATCTGTGCCATCTGTGTCACCATCTGTGTCACCATCTGTGTCGCCATCTGTGTCGCCATCTGTGTCATCTGTGACATCTGTGTCATCTGTGTCATCATCTGTGTCATCTGTGACATCATCTGTGTCATCTGTGACATCATCTGTGTCATCTGTGTCATCATCTGTATCGTCTGTGTCATCTTTCACCGCTACAACTGAAAAATAAACCAGAACAAAGATTGCAGCACTTGCGCTAAGCACATACACTGTTAATAATCACTTAAGCCCGATGCGCTCCTCACGGCTCTCATTCTTCCCACCCTCACCCCCTCCAGCACACAAAACCAGCCCTACCACAGCAGACTGCTCCTGCACAGCATGCCACAGTCCTATAGAGAACATCCCTTGCCTTGGGGTCACAAAGACCTTTAAGCGTCATACAGGTAGAGATTTAAAAGAAAACTCTAAGGTAGAAGGTGGGAGTTCCCCTCCCTCCCCAACCCCCATGCCCTCCCTGTCCCTCACCAAAGACGATTTCCTCTCTTTAGCCCTGGTCACATCCACCTGCTCCTGGTGCTCTCCTTCTAAGATTCATTTACAATGAAGGCAGTCAATCCAGGGAAATCAGGCGATATGGTTAAGCCTAGGGGAGAGTGACAGGGTCTCACGTGATTGGAGGAGGGTGCTTCCTCTGAACTCTTTCTGTTCACTTTTTTTTCACATGCCTACATCAGATCTCCTCTTGTTCATCACTGAGGTATATGGACACACTGGTGCTGGGGCCTGGGTTGCGGTTTGAGACTCCAGTGACTTCCTTAGCTGGATGATCCCCACCAACCCCAAACCACCCTCTTTTTTGACTCTTCTTTTGATCCACAGGCGTATCAGAAAAAGGGGGAAACAGGTGGTTGGTGTTGATATTGCAGAAAATGTTTTGGCAAAAGGTAGCTATGTGACTTGCCCATATGCTACAGGTAGTAGACATTAGTAACTAGGTGTACTAATTCCCTCCTACTCTGTGTAATCAAAACCCCCCCCCGTAATGACTCTGGTGCTAAATAGAAGATTCAGTCACTTGTGGCTGTATGAGTTAGCATACATAAGGCAGCTAACCTAGAAAGGCTATGCTCACAAACACAGGTTGGAATTTAAGACTGGGAGGTGGCTGCGCGGGTTTGTGACATTTGACAAGATTGGAGCATTATAGCAGGAGAACACATCAGGAACTAGGAAGGGGAGGGAAGAGAGAGGGGGGAGGGTAGGAGAGAGAGGTGGGGAGAGAGAGTGATCCACAGTTTCAGGGGTAACACCTTAGAGCCTAAGAATCTCTCCCTGGGACCTACCAATAAATGTTCCCAGAACACTCCAATAGCACCAAGCCACATGGACCTTTGGAGGATGTGTTCACCAGTCCAGCAGGGAACACTTGGGACAATGCATCAAATATAAAGAGAATTTGAGTAATCAGGTCAGGCCCAGAGACAACATCCAGTGCTCTTTCTGGGTCATTTAATGGAGGACATAACAAAATAAATCTTATATGTCAAACCAGAGCCTCTGGGCTAACCTGATAAGCATCACAGGGCTCTGGGGCTTTACTTTCATTTTGAATTTTAACAAGGGGGCTCTAGGGAAAAGATTATGATCAACCAACATGGATGCTGGAGGCATGGAGGCAGTGAGAGCGCACTCTTCTGGATATCTTGAATTATAGCGTTATGCGGCTTGAACCAGACGCCTGATGGAAACCACATAAGAGAGGGAAGACATTTGGCTAAAGTTTTAGTGATGCCGTCATGGTGGGGCAGAGACAGTGAAAGCAGTTTACATCTTGGTTCCAAGGAAGCCAACAACTGTACTCCAAGAAGGGGCAGAGCAAGAACTAGCTCAAGTGTGCACTTCACTCCCAGTGACCAGGTTCACCCAATGTAAGCCATCCTTGGGCCTTCAGCACCAACCGAAGAAGCCAATGTATCATTCAAATCAAGGGTCAGATCCACTCATTAAACCAGAGGCCTCAAGACCTAACTGTCTCTGGAAATAGCATCAAAAAAAATCTCCCTGGAAATTTGCTTTCTTAATTAATATCCTGGTCATTTGTCAAGGCCATCAAGCTGACAGTTAAGATCAATTGTCATGGGGAGGTGAGACTCCTGAGAATTTGAGCCTGCTGACTCAAATTTGATCTCCACATCCCAAAGTTGGTTGAGCAATTTTTTTCCTCAGAAAATCATGTTGATTTTTTCATCCTAATTTGTTCTTTGACAATGTCATACATGTAATGACTGGTCTCATTCCTCCTCCAACTCTGTGCATCCTTTAATTCCCTCCCCCTACCCTGTGCATCCTTTAATTGGGGGCCCCCGCCGGGTGCATGGTCTGCTATTTCCCTCCCCACCCCCACCATATTCTTACCTATCATCAAGTCACCTCCCACTTTCATGGCACTTGTTTTGTGATCCACTGAAGTTTCCCATGGGTGTCATGTGAACATGCGTGTAGAGCTACCCATGGCACTTTGATGTTTTTGTTTGTTTGTTTTCAATACATCCCAACAACAGTTCCCTCTCTCCCGTTCCTCCTACGCCCCCACCACATTTTACTTTAAGTATGTGTACTATAGGATGTTGTGAGCACCCAGAGCAAGTACTCAACTAAACTCAGGTCCTCTGCAAGAGCAGCACATGCTCTTAATGGTAAGCCATCTCTCCCAGCTCCTGCGTGTTGCACTTTTTATTGTAATGGTGAGTTTTATGCCAACTTGACACAAGCTAGAGTCACTGGGAAGGAGGAGATCTTAATTGGGAAAATGCCTCCATAAGATCTGGCTGTAAGACATTTTCTCAACTAGTGATTGATGGGGGAGAGCCCTGCTCATTGTGGGTGGGGCCATCCCTGGGCTGGTGGTCCTGGATTCTATAAGAAAGCAGGCTGAGAAAGCCATGAGGAGTAAGCCAGTAAGCGGCACCCCTCCATGGCCTCTGCATCAGCTCCTGCCTCCAGGTTCCCGCCCTGCTTGAGTTCCTGTCCTGACTTTCCTTTCATGATAAACTGTGATGTCGAAGGGTAAGCCAAATTAACCCTTTCCTCCCCCAATGCTCTTTTCAGTCATGGTGATTCACCACAGCAATTAGGAAACCAAACTGAGACATTTATCAAAGTTTTGTTTCGCTTCTGAAACATGATCGTGTCAGTTTGGTCTTAAGATACATAGATTTCCATGTGTGGCCTGTGACACCCTCATGATGAATGATCTTCTCCCCAGGTGAGACCTGGTTTGTTAGTGTTTTGCATCTACTCAAGGTAGAGTAGGGCAGGCTCAGATTCTGCCTGGCTGCAACCTAGAATCATTCAGATTTAGGCCAAAAAAAAAACAAAAAACAAAAAACATGGGTGTGACTTGTAGCTGTGTCCCCTGGGGCTGGCCCGACGACTGTGTATTCAGAGTGATGATCTAACCCCTCCTGGATACTGGGTTCTCTGGAGCCATCCCAGAACTAAGATGCCTAAGTGTAGTTGTGGAGTCTGGGTTCAGCTCTGGAGTCTAGAGACAGGCTTGAGATTTGAGTGTGCTGGGATAAGGGCTTGACAAGCTATATAGCTTGAAGAAAGTGTGTGTGCAGGAGCCCATCTGGTATTTAAGGCCAGGGCTGCTGACTCTTCATAAGATACGCCTGAAACCTACAGCCAAAGGAAGTATCTTAGAACTGCATCCTTTAACCCATGTTGACAAGCCTAGACAGTGGACTCAGAGGTGCTACCTGAGTACATAGGGGTTCAATGGTCAGCCTTGTGCTGGTGTGAGCCTTACGCCTAGAAAAAACTGCTATTGACTGTGGTCTAGAACTAGAGCCTAGAGGCCAATTAGCCATATAAAGAAATCACTGAGGGATGGCCTAACATTAGCCTGAAGCTGGGGGTGTGTGGGAATGGCCTGGTCCTACGGCAAGCCCAAAGGAGCCATCCAGGTTGTCCTAGATCCTTGAGATATGGTATCTCTCTGGCGTCCAAAGCTCAGTCTGAAGTTGCTGGCCTTGGGGTGAAGGGTCTAGCATAGCATGTTGAGAGACTAAAGACAGTATCTGTATAGAACATCACGAGGCCTGGGTCCACAGGCCTATGCAGATAAACCTGGTCCTGAGAGCAGCCTGGGGACTGTTGCCATTGGAGATAACTAGCATTCAAAGAGGTCGTCAGCCTTTGATGAAGGCTTCCTTGTAATTGTTCCCCCAATAGTTAGAAACCTGGCTCCTGCCATCTGCCACTGACTCGTTCGTTCCTGTTTGATGTAACATAAAGAGTTACTTCCATATACCTAAAAAGAAAAATTATAAAAGTCATGATCTTTAAAAATATAAAATGAGGTCTGGAGAGATGGCTCAGTGGTTAAGAGCACTGACTGTTCTTCCAGAGGTTCTGAATTCAATTCCCAGAAACCACATGGTGGCTCAAAGCCATCTGTAATGGGATCTGATGCCCTCTTCTGGTGTGTCTGAAGACATGACAGTGTACTCACATATAATAAATAAATAATTCTTTAAAGAATAAAAGGGGTCATTGACAATTTCTCACATTGAAATGGTGCCTGAGAAAGTTCATATGAATAAATTTTAAGTAACATAAGGTGACAAAATCCCCACAATGAGGAATTATAAGAAACACCATTAAGAGTTGGAGAGGAACCTGGTGTGGTGGCACATTTATCCCAGCACTTGGGAGGCAGAAACAGGTAGGTTGCTGTGAGTTCAAGGCCAGCCTGGTCTACACAGTGAGGTCCAGGACAGCCAAGGCTGTGTAGAAAGACCCTGTCTTTAAAAAAAAAGAAAAGAAAAGAAAAGAAAGAAAGAAAGAAAGAGAGAGAGAGAGAGAGAGAGAGAGAGAAAGAAAGAAAGAAAGAAAGAAAGAAAGAAAGAAAGAAAGAAAGAAAGAAAGAAGCACGGGGCGGTCCTTCTGCACATATGTAACAGTTGGTGATGGTGGTTTGAATAAGTTGGTCTCCGTAGACTCATGCGTTTGAATGCTTGGCCCATGGGGAGTGGCACTGTGAGAAGGTGTGGCCTTGTTGGAGTGGGTGTGGCTTTGTTGGATGAAGTGTGTCACTGTAGGGGTGGACTTGGAGGTCTCTGAGCTCATGCTCTGCCTAATGTGGAATCAGAGTGTCCGATGGCTGCCTGCAGAAGATAGTCTCTTCTTGGCTGTCTCAGTGAGGGTTTTCCTGCTGTGAGCAGACACCACGACTGAGGCAACTCCTATAAAGGAAAACATTTAATTGGGGCTGGCTTATAGGTTCAGAGGTTCAGACCATTATCATCAAGGCGGGAGCATGGCAGCATCCAGGCAGGCATGGTGCAGGAGGAGCTGAGAGTTTTACATCTTCATCTGAAGGCAGAACACTGGCTTCCAGGAAGCTAGGGTGAGGGTCTTAAGCCCAAGCCCAGAGTGACACACCTACTCCAACAAGGCCACACCTACTCCAACAAGGCCACACCTACTCCAACAAGGCCACACCTACTCCAACAAGGCCACACCTACTCCAACAAGGCCACACCCTCTAATAGTGCTACTCCCTGGACTGAGCATATACAAACCGTCACACTGGCTTTGGATCAAGATGTAGAACTCCAGCTCCTCCAGCACCATGCCTGCCCGGATGCTGCAATGGTGATAACAGACTGAACCGCTGAACCTGTAAGCCAGCCCCAATTAAATGTTGTCCATTATCAGAGTAAATTGCCTTGGTCATGTTGTTTCTCTTCACAGCAATAAATCCCAAACTAAGACAGTCGTGCAGCTGGGTCTTCATGTGGGACTTTTAAAGCAGGAGCAGGACTATCTCTGACTACAGTGCCTGCCTTCAGATCCCTTTCTCCTAGCTGGGCTGCCTAGGCTAGCCTCAACAGAAGAAGATGTGCCCAGTCTTACTGCAACTTGATACGCAAGGTTGTTTGATATCCGTGGGAGGCCTCCCATCTCCTGAGAACCAACGGAGTAAGGGCGGATGGGGGGATGGGAGGTGAGAGGGAGGGACTGGGAAGAGAGGAAGGAGGGACGCTGTAGTTGGGATATAAAGTAATAAATAACTTAATTAAAAACAAAGAATAGAAGGACTTTGAAAGAAGAAGGGATTTGGTGGGAATGGAGAGGAGCTCCGAGATGGTAATAGGACTTTGGTCAAATAACATGATATAAATATGAAATTGTAAAAGAATAAATAATTTCTAAAGCCAGGTATTCAAGAGGAATCACAGAGTGATGTGAGGAGAAATAAGAAGGAGACACTGGGGCCAGTCTGTTCATAAGGGTTTATTTTTCAAGTGTGTTTGCCTTGTTACCCCCCAGTAAACACAGCATTTCTAAAAGTCACCACCAGCCATGTTCTGAAGTCTCTCAAGCATCTGCTAGCCCACGTGAGGTCGGGACGGCGAGAAGTCAGGGTCATTTCTTTCTTTCAAAAAATTTCTGTGAAAGAGAACGTTTAGGTTCTCAGAGAAATAAAGTCTCTAAGAAACTAACCTTCATCCTCAAGCTGCGGCCCAGTTCCCTCTGGCTGACACCCGCCATGGTGGACGCCGGGGCCTGACCACTTCTGGGTAGACGAGGCTCGGGTTCACTAAGAGACCACTGAGGTCAATGTGTCCACAGAAAAGTCAAACTATGGAGTCAATGGTTACAAACGCAGATGAACTAGGAAGCAGGCATTTTAAGAAGGCGGGCCTTTATATCAAGTTCCAGGACAGCCAGGGCTATGCTATATAGAGAAACCCTGTATGAAATAAAATAAAATAAAATAAAATAAAATAAAATAAAATAAAATAAAATAAAATAAGGGCTCTAAACTGGTGTCTCATTTCATGTACCAGTAATTTGCCTCTCTCTCTCTCTCTCTCTCTCTCTCTCTCTCTCTCTGTATCCCCCTCTCTGTGTGTGTGTCTGTATATGTATCTACATGTCTGCCTGTTTATGTGTTGGTCAGTGTGTCTAGATCTATGTGTATGTGTGTGTGTGTGTCTGGATGTGCTTCTGTGTGTGGAAGAATGTGTCTATATGTGTATATGTCTCTGTCTGTCTGTTCATGTCTATTGGGAGTGCATGTGGATGTGTCTGTGTGTGTTTGTGTCTGTGTGAATGTGTATTTGTGTGTGTATGAGTGCCTGTCTATGTGGGCATATGTCTGTGTGTGTGTGCCTGTGTCTGTGTGTGTCTGTGTCTGTGTGTATGCCTGTGTCTGTGTGTGTATGCTTGTGTCTATGTGTGTGCCTGTGT